AGAGTAACGTTGAGATAGTGAAATAACCAATGGGAGGAGGGGTGGTTGACCAGTCAGGGGCATAGACCAGGAAACTAAGGAAGACACAGGGGAGGGTGCGAGCCGAGAGCTTGTCCGCGCGAGGATTGCGGACATGCGCAAGGCAACCCTAGACACAAAACGCAGACGCAGCACCAAGGGACCCAGTCCAGAGACGAGTCGGTGAATCCTATAGGCGCGAGACACAAGGCCACAGGATCAGCTGATGCGCGGCGTAGCGGACCGCAAATGGCTACAGAAAATGGACCGCACAGTCATGATTCATGGATGCCACTGGTTCAGCTTCTGCAGCGCTCGACAACCCCATTCTGATGTGGCGAGTACGGGAGCGTGAAGGACTGGGTGATGCCCTGGGCGCTACAAAACTGGTCAAGTCAGCCAGAGCGGAACTCGCCCTCACAGTTGGAGTGTAGACTAAGCACAGGCAGTCCGCGCTGGGAGCGAATGGCCAACAACCACGGGATCAGAGCATTAGGCACGTTGGACTTCCACTCCAAGGGAAACATTGTGGTGTGGCGGGAGAAGTTGTCTACAACAACGAGGAAGTAGCGCTCATGGCGCGGCTCAGAGACCGGGGCAGGGCCTCGACGTCTAGGTGCAAAGTCTGAAGAGGCGCAATGGCGGGTGCAAGTGAGGAGCAGACGAGGGAGCGGGGGGGAGCGACAACATTTGACCTGAGACAAGATGGTGCCTAGCTATATGAAGGAGATGAGGGATTGCAGGGTGACCTAGATGGTGGTGCCATAGGAGGGACGAGTGGGTGAGTGACCGACAAGAGCACGACGTGGATACATGACCAAACGCAGACACCTGAAGGGACACTGTGTGCAGTGTTAAGAGACCTGATGAAGACTCTTGGGAAAACGTGGCAAGAGAAGCAGTAAAGGTGGGGATCTCGGGCAGAGCACACCCCTCAAGAGATGGGGGACTACTGCACCCGTAGCAGAGGTGATGGAGCGAATGCGGGTCTTGGTCTCATTGAGACTAGTCTCAATGAGGTCGACAGTGAGCTAAGTGGGGTGCCTAGAGAGGAGAGCGTCGCGTGCAGATGAGAGGCCAGGGAGACGCGTTACAGCAAAGTAGAGGGTGTGGAAGAGGGGTGGAGGGTGACTCTCAAGCTTGGCAGCAATGCAGGCAGCACGATAGCTAGCGTCAAGTGAGTGTAGGTGCGTGACTAGGTCAGCACAATAGTGTAAGGTTGCAAGGTAGAGGAAGAGAAATGGCATGAGCAGGCGTCCTCGGATAGCAAAGGAAGGAGTGTTATAGCGAGAAGCGATAGTGTCAACGCACTCCTTCGCCGGCGTGACCTGGCTGGAGTAAGCGCACTCGATCGTTGGGAGGAAGCATCGAAGAGCGAGGCGAGCAGCAGTGTTGTGGGATTGCCACACAAAGTACTCAGTGGGCTGCGCAACGAAAGTCTCCTGGTCCGTCGTACTAGCCGCAGTAGTAGGGAGAGGGGTGGGATGGGGGAGAGGAAGGGGGGGGGAGGGTGGGGGGGGGCAGGAAGTTCGCCCGAAGTGTGAGGGTACAAAGTGTCACGGTCCTGACGCTGGCTCTGGAGGTGAAGCGTTGCCACGTGCTAAAGTAAATCGCTCGTCGGATGCCCCTCGTCGCATCAATACAAAGAACTTCGTCGGATGCCATGACGAAGGTTACTGGGTCTAGTCAACAGCTGTGCTGATGAGCGGGCTAGAAATGGCGATAGGAAAGACGCTAGGAACGGCGCTCGGAACGACGCTCGGAACGGCGCTAGGAACGGCGCTAGGATCGTCGCTAGGAACGGCGCTAGGAACAGTGCCAAGAACTGCAGTAAAAACGGCACTAGGAATGGGGAGGCTACTTGGCAGCGCACTTAGAGCGTGTTCCTACGTCTCGTATCAAGCGAACCTCATATCAGGCTCAGACTGAAAATTCCCCTAAACCCAAAATCATTCGCTAGTTTTACCAGGCAAGTCTGATATGAGGTTGCCTGATATGAGGCGTAGGAACACGCCCTTAGGTCAGCACGGCAGGGTGGCGTGCTGGTGGCACGATGTTGGGCGGCGCGCTGCTGGCGCGCTACTGAGGTCGCGCGCAAGCTGTTACGGCGGCGCGAGCGCCGGCGTGCGCTGCGGTGTGCGCGCTGCTGTGCGTGCTGCGCGTGCACGGTGGCGTGCGCGATGCTGCGCTCGCTGGCGTGCATGCTGCGCGTGCGCGATGCTGCGTGCTGTGGCATGCGCACCGCGTACGCGTGATGCTGCGCGTGCTGGGCGCGCGCGCTGGCGGGTGCACCGTGCGTGTGCGCTGTTGTGCGCGCTGGCGGTCTGCTCGCGGGCGCATTGGCGGTCTGCTTGCGGGTGCGCTAAGGCTGGCTGGCGGCACTAGGGCTGGCGGGCGGTTTAGGAGGCGGTCTAGGGTTGGGGTAGGTGGCGCGCTAGGCTAGGTGACGGTGAGCGAAAGTGCGGACCTTACCTTTCTGATACCATGTCAGAAACAGAGAATGGTGCACTATATGAGGATGATGGGTACAATACCTATCCCTGACCTAGGCTACCAAATGTAACAGCAGAGCCTAACAATTACACTTTGACAAGTCGGTACTTGTGATATAAATAATTATGTACATAATTCTAGTATTGTAGTGCATGTCCTGTAAAAACAACATACGGTATCTGCATTGCTACAAGACTATCGCAGGAAAGAAGAGTCATTCAGCACCCAGGTGCTCGTGGTTCATACATGCTTCAGCAGCAGCAGTGCAAGCACATGACAAGGCAACTGCTGGTGATGCTGGTGCTGATGCTGATGCTGATGGTGGCGCTGCTAGTTTCGATTCTGCTGCCACGCATCACATCGGTCAGCTCTGAAACATTCGATGCTGGTGCTGGTACTGGTGCTGATGCTGATGCTGATGTTGGTAATGATGATGCTGCTGCTGATTTCGATTCAGCTGCCACACATCCCTTGGGTTTGACGAGTCACGATGCAGCAGCAGCCCTGCAAGCACATAAAGAGTCAACTGCTGTTGATGCTGCAAATGGATGCAGCAGCAGCCCTGCAAGCACACGATGCTGCTGCAGCACCTACCCTCGTGAGCCACGATGCAGCAGCAGAGCTGCAAGCACATGAAGAGGCAATTGCTCTTGATGCTGCAAATGGTGGTGGTGCCGCTGCAGCGCCTACCCTCATGGGTCATAATGCAGCAGCAGCACTGCATGCAAACACATGAAGAGGCAACTGCTGTTGATGACTTTGATTCAGCTGCCACACATCCCACGCGTTTGATGAGTCACGACACTGCAGCAGTGCACTGCAGCGCCTACCTTATGGGTCACGATGCAGCAGCAGCGCTGCAAGCACATGAAGGGCCAACTGCTGCTGATGCTGTGTCTGAAGCTGTTGCTGCTGATGCTGCTGCTGAATCAGTTGATACTGCAACTCCTGAAACTGATGATTCTGCTGCTGCTGATAATGCTGCTGCTGATGCTGCTGCTGTTGCTGACCTTGTATCTGCTGTCGCTTCTCCTTTCTCCCTTCCTCACTCCCCTCATCTTTCCCCTCCTCTCTCCCATGCCGCACACAAGGCAGCAACATATTTTCTCTCGCTTGCTGCTGTCTCCTCCGCTTTTCCAGCACCATCCCATTCGCTCCCTGCATCTGCACCTGCAGCCCACCCGAAATGCAAGGACCATTGGTAAAACAGCTCCCATCCGCTCGCTGCCTCTGCATCTGCAGCCCATCCGACCTACCAGGATAAGCAGAGAGACGCTGACCATTCTGTCTCCTCCGCTTTTCCAGCACCATCCCATCTGCTCCCTGTATGTGCATCTGCAGACCACCCGAAAAGTCAGCTCCCTGCATCTGCCTCTGCCTCTGCATCTGCAGCTGCATCTGCATTTGCAGCCCACCCGAAAAGTCAGCTTCCTGCCTCTGCCTCTGCACCAAAGGCCTCTCCTCACCCTCACCCCCACAAGCTACTGCACTGCTGCACGTGCTGCTGCCCCCGCTAATTGCGCGAGGCATGGCAGGGATGGGAGGGATGGTAGGAGTGGCAGGGAGGGTTGCCGTGCCTTGCGCCGTGCCTTGCAAACTGCCTTGCGCCATGCCTTGCACCATGCTTTTCAGCATGCCATGCAGCGCCTCTTGGGAAGTTTTTTCAGGCATATGAACATCAGATGAGTTCTCTACTTCTGACCTGAGTTGTTTTGAGAACGGGCCGGCATATCCTTGCACCCTGCCTTGCGCCCTGCCATGCACCATGCTTTTCAGCATGCCATGCAGCGCCTCTTGAGAAGATCTTTCAGGCATATAAACATCAGAGGAGTTCTCTGCTTCTGTCCTCCTGAGCCGCTTTGGAAACCGGCCGGCATGTCTTGCAAGTGTAGCCTCGCTGTTTATGGGTACCCCAGCGCCACACTGTGCCAAGCCCCCCTGCATGTCTTGCACCTTGCCTTGCTGTGCCATGCTTGTTAGCATGTCTTGTGCCACGTCAGCGGCATTGGGTTCACCAGCGTCAGCAGCTTCAGCAGCCTCAGGCTGAGGCTCAAAAGCCTCGCTATAAGCACGCTTCACTATCCACCCGTTGCCGCTTCGGGATCGAACCAGCATGTCAGCCCTGGTAACTGTTGACTGCGAGGCAATCATACCACCTCCATGCGAATTTCTTATAAGCTCATGAATCACTGATGTTGAATCTACGTCGTCATATGGAAGAGAGACTGAAGAAGAACCAAAAATAGAGGCAGGTGAAATTTCTGGCTTATCATTATTATCAGCAGCAGCAGAGGCACCGTGTGGGCTGACAGCGTGTGTGGGGGGCTGTAGGGAGAGGAGGAGGCAAAGGTTAGATGCTTGTGAATTGGAACTCTCAGAAAACAGATTCAACCTGTGGTTGTCGGGTGATTGAGGGGAAACTGGGAAGAGAGGAAGCTCCGATGCTGCTGGTGCTGCTGCAGCTGCTGGTGCTGCTGCTGCTTCTGCTGCTACTGCTGCTGCTGCTGCTGCTGCTGCTGCTGCTGCTGCTGCTGCTGCTGCTGCTGCTGCTGCTGCTGCTGCTGCTGCTGCTGCTGCTGCTGCTGCTGCTGCTGCTGCTGCTGCTGCTGCTGCTGCTGCTGCTGCTGCTGCTGCTGCTGCTGCTGCTGCTGCTGCTGCTGCTGCTGCTGCTGCTGCTGCTGCTGCTGCTGCTGCTGCTGCTGCTGCTGCTGCTGCTGCTGCTGCTGCTGCTGCTGCTGCTGCTGCTGCTGCTGCTGCTGCTGCTGCTGCTGCTGCTGCTGCTGCTGCTGCTGCTGCTGCTGCTGCTGCTGCTGCTGCTGCTGCTGCTGCTGCTGCTGCTGCTGCTGCTGCTGCTGCTGCTGCTGCTGCTGCTGCTGCTGCTGCTGCTGCTGCTGCTGCTGCTGCTGCTGCTGCTGCTGCTGCTGCTGCTGCTGCTGCTGCTGCTGCTGCTGCTGCTGCTGCTGCTGCTGCTGCTGCTGCTGCTGCTGCTGCTGCTGCTGCTGCTGCTGCTGCTGCTGCTGCTGCTGCTGCTGCTGCTGCTGCTGCTGCTGCTGCTGCTGCTGCTGCTGCTGCTGCTGCTGCTGCTGCTGCTGCTGCTGCTGCTGCTGCTGCTGCTGCTGCTGCTGCTGCTGCTGCTGCTGCTGCTGCTGCTGCTGCTGCTGCTGCTGCTGCTGCTGCTGGTGCTGCTGCTGGTGCTGCTGCTGGTGCTGCTGCAGCTGCTGGTGCTGATGCTGGTTCTTGGTGTTGTTGGGACATGCAAAAGGGATGATGTTCTGAGTCTTGTTGTTCCTGCATTGAAATACTCGCATGTGCTTCTGCTAGTGCCGCTGCTGCGAATAATTCAACCACTGCTGCGGCTGCTGCTGCTCTATCGAATGCTAATGCTGGTGCTGATGTTGCAGGGACTTGCCGGGACATACAAATAGGGGGAACTGCCGAGTCGTGATGCTTTGCCAGGAACACACTCGTGCGTGCTGCTTCTGACGCTGCTGCTGCCGAGTCTGGATGCTTTGGCATGAACACACTCGTGCGCGCTGCTTCCATACAGCATTGCTTGTAAACGCTTCCATGTGCTGTAGTAGAATTTTGCTGAGACTCCATAGAAGCTTCCATACAGCGTTGCATGGGAGCACTTGTACGATCTGGAGCGGTGCTGGGTCCTAACAGAGCGGTGCTGGGTTGTACCAGAGCGGTGCTGCTAGGTGACTGGCTGCTGCCCCGTTTTTGCACTGCGAAACATTTAGGGAGCATGGAATCCGGAAGAGTGGAGGGAAACTGAAGGGAGGAGGTTGAGCTTTGGGAGTGAGGATGGCCGTTGATTGCAGAATGGAGGGTCTGGATGAACGCAGCAATAGCTGGTGGGGTAGCAGCAGCAACAGTAGCAGGTGCAGGGGCTGCAGCAGCAGCAGCAGCAGCAGCAGCAGCAGCAGCAGCAGCAGCAGCAGCAGCAGCAGCAGCAGCAGCAGCAGCAGGAGCAGCAGGAGCAGGCGCAGCAGCAGGAGAAGGAGCAAAGGCGGCACCTGTAAGGGAACCACCTGCAGGGGTGAATGGTTCTGAAGAGGCGGCTGAGCTTGGGGAGTGAGGACGACCGTTGATTGCAGAATGGAGGGTCAGGATGAAAGAAGCAATAGGTGAGGGAGTAGCAGGAGGGGCTGCAGCAGCAGCAGCATTAAGGAAAGCTCTTATAGAAGAAGCACCCACAAGGGCTGTAGCAGCAGCAAGGGTAGCGCCTGCATGGGCTGTAGCTGTAGCATATCACCCGTGCCTGTCACAATAGCAGCAGCTGTAGTGTTTCCCTCCGGCCTTCCACTCTGGGTTGGAGAAGACGGGTTGACAGTAGGGCCAGCAGCAGGTAGTAAAGTGTTTCCCTCCTCCCCCTCCGCGCCCATGCCTTTAAGGGAAGGGGGAAAATTCTTTTCCCCGTGCAGGGGGGATTCCCCCCCGCCCTGAAACCCCCCTGGGAGAGGGGTTCCCCCCCCGCCCTGATCCCCCCCCGGGAGGCGGGATCCCCCCCCGCCTTGATCCCCCCCTGGGAGGGGGGATTCAGCCCTCGGGGGGCCAATGCGAGGGTTGTACTTCATCCCGTGCCGCTGCTTGTTGACCAGGCTGTGCCAGCGGCTCTGAATCTGGTGGTAACCCTCCCTGCCGCCCGCTTCCTGGGAGGGGGGAAGTTCTTTCCCCTCGTTCATCCCACGGCGTTGCTTGTTGACCAGGCTGTGCCAGCGGCTCTGAAGGCAGGAGGGGAGTTCCCGCCTCCCCTGATCCCCCCCCCCTGGGAGGGGGGATTCCGCCCTCGGGGGGCCAATGCGAGGGTTGTTCTTCATCCCGCGCCGTTGCTTGTTGACCAGGCTGTGCCAGCGGCTCTGAATCTGGTAACCCGTTCGTGAGGGGAATTTCGCCGAGGCGATCGCGGCCCACTTGGTTTCGCCGTGGGAGCCCCATTGAATGGGAGCGCCATTCAATTCGTTGGACTCGCAGCCGGCCCACTTGGTTTCGTCTCGCCGAGGAGGCCCCATGTCACGCTCGCCAGAAGAACGGGAGTCCCATTGAATGGGAGCGCCATTCAATTCGTTGGACTCAAAGGCAGCCCACTTGGTTCCGCTGTGGGAGCCCCCCCACGCTATGCTCGCGAGCAGCAGGGCGTCTTCCTCTGGCGAGAAGGGCGCACGGTTGACCTGCATTGGGGGAAAAAGGGGGAGGAGAGGGGAGGAGAGGAGATGAGTGGGAGCCGTTGGTTTCGCCGTGGGAGCCCCATGCAATTCGTTGGACTCAAAGGCGGCCCACTTGATTCCGCCGAGGGAGCCCCATGCAACGCTCGCTAGCAGCAGGGCGTCTTCCTCTGGGGTGAAGGGCGCGCGGTTTACCTGCAAAGACTCTTTGCAGGTAAACCGCGCGCCCTTCACCCCAGAGGAGGGGGGTGGGGAGGAGGGGAGCTGAGATGAGAAGGAGCCGCTGGTTCCGCTGTGCGAGCCCCACGCGATGCTCGCCAGCAGTCAGGGCGTCTTCCTCTGGGGTGAAAGGGGTGCGGTTGACCTGCATTGGGGGTGAGGAGGAGGGGAGGGAGAGGGGGGGAAGAGTGGGGGGAGGGGGGAGGGAACTTGGGTGAGGTGATCGCAGCCCACTTGGTTTCGCGCCGTGGGAGCCCCACGCCACGCTCGCGAAGAGAAGCGCGTCTTCGAGTCTTCGTCTGGCGAGAATAGGAGGGCACGGGTTGACCTGGTGTGATGAGTCGATTTTTGAGTCGACTCATCACACGGTTGACCTGCGTTGGTGGGCAGTCAGTCACTGGACGGTCCAGGGGAAGCAACTCTCCCCGCAAATTTTCTCCCATCCCCGTCCCACCCAACTTCTCCTTCCCGCACCGCACCTCCCCCCTCCCTCCCTCGCACATTCTCTTGATGCTGACGCACCTTAGGGTTGAGGTGACTGGACCACCGCAGTCGGCAGCTCTGCGCGTCGCGTTTCAGCGTGGTCGCCTCCGTCACGCGCTTCCAACTTCCCGCGCCGTACTTTGCCACGTAAGCCCGCAGCTCCGCGTCTTCCGCCGCCGTCCACGCCCCGCGCTTCCGGCGCCGCGATTCGAGGTCTTTTTTACACAGGCATCGAGGAACCGCGGCGCGAACGGGGACAGGGACAGCGGCGGCGCCCCGTGCGCTACTACCGATGCCGCCGCCGTCAGCGCCGCCGTTTGCGCGGCTGTTAAAAAACCGCCGCGGTGCAGTTTCTGTCGTCTCTGCCGCCATATTCTTCGAACGGAAAACACCGGGGGCCAAGGGGGGCCAAATTCAGCCGGGCAACTGAAAGCTCCGACGCCGCGCCGCGGCTCTGCAGCCTGGGTGTCACGCTTTGAAGCAGTGCTTGAAGCAGCGAATACTAGTACTAGTAGGAGTAAGTAGTGGTACCGGCGATTCACACCACCACTGATAACGCAACGCGAGGGGAGGTGTGCTGAAAGATACGTAGTCCCAGCGGCCGTGCTGATACGTAGCACGTATCATCATCGCAGGAAACCGGCGCCGTTCAACGCTTGTCGCGCAGATTTGCTATGCGCCGCTGATACTGCCGCGGAAAGGAGCAGGCGGCGGCGCGGAAAGGAACGAAAGACTGCACACTTCGAGACTTCGAGACTTGGACTCGGAGAGCCCAAGAGCCCCAAGAGCCCCGAAGAGAAGAGCCGCTGCGCGCCAACAGTGCATGCACGTCGGCGGCAAACCATTTGATACACGTCACTGTGCATGCATTGCACGTCGGCCGCGACTCGGACAGCTGTTTGTCCCACTGGACAGCGTTACTGTTCATTTCACACAAAGACCCGTATTTAATAGGATGCCTGATCGCAGCGCGGCAGCGCAGAGCCCGATCGAGCCATGACCACTCGTTTCTCATGTCGGTGGAAATACGTGTTCGCTCTGCTGCAAGTGGCGGCGGTCTGGTGTGATATAATCTACCATCAAAAGCGGCAGATTTGCCCCTGATTGATTAGTGGCCTGATTTGTCCTCCACCCCAAGTTGTACTGTGCTTGTCCGTGAAATTGGACGGACGGTACGTCGTTAACGTTCCGTTCCGTTCCGTTCCGTTCCGTTCCGTCCCAGACGTCAACTGTAGCTTCGAAACCACGTGGACTGATGAGTCTGTTCGGCGAACTCCATCCCTCAACTCCTTCTAGGAGTATGTACTATTAGTAGTACTGCTGTTCTAGTACTAGCTAAACGGCGATCTTGCACCCTCCCGCCGCCGTTCTCCTCTCTGCCCCACTCACACTGACACTGGATGGACCACACTAGCTCGAAAGGGAGAATGGAGATGCTCTTCCAGGCGCGTTGGAATATCACGCAGTAGAGTACTAAGAGAACTCAGTTTCGTCAAAACGGACAACTGAATGAGGGAGGCTGGCTAGGTACCCTCTTTATTTTACGTTTCCGCCCTTACAGTTGGTCGGTTATACACAGTTACCACAGCTGTACGTTTATTGACTGTTCCGTTTCGTTGGGTTCAACAAGGAACCACAGTCGATCGCAGATCCATATATTTGATTGCTACCTATCTAACGTCCTTCGGCCATTTTCAGGTGCATACAACTTAGTCGGGAAAAGCTTCTCAGGTGCATGCTATCCCGTCGTGTTTCTCCCTCTGTTGCCACGTTTTGTACACATCCGCCACTAAAAACACTGTTCTGTCAGAGGATGCAACCCGCGCAACACAAGCAGCACACGCAACACACACAACACACAAAATCGGCCTGGCAGGGAAGCCCGAAAAGGAAAAATACAACTCCTTGGGAACCTAGACATTGTTCGAGAGGGGTCAACCCTAAACACGGGAACCGTCCTGGTGTTTAGGGTTGATGTCTCGTAAGGCAGTGGAAAAAATAAACAATAGAAACTAGGGAACCTGGACTCATTTTTTCGGAAGATATCAACCCTAAACAAGGGAACCGCCCTACTGTTTAGGGTTGATTCCTCCCGAGTCGCATGCGTTTCCAATTGGGTTTTATTTTCTTTGCCCGTTTTTAGTCAGGCGTGTTGCGATATGTATTGACCTTGTCCGCAGTAAGGCTGCGACTGGTGTGGTTGGACGACGAGTTCGTGCGAGAGCTGCGCCAGTTGGTGTCAGTCGCATTGGTAGCACCCCCTGGCAGAACAGTTATTGTCGTGGCGGAGGTGTATAAACAGTAACAACAGAGGGAGAAACACGACGGGATAGCATGCACCTGAGCAGCTTTTCCCGACTAAGTTGCATGCACCTGAAAATGGCCGAACGTCCTTAGTACGGAGAATGCGACGAAAGGCCCTGCTGTCGCCAGCTGGGATGGTGAAAATCAATGGCATGAGGTGGAGAGAGAACACTGTAGTGTATTTAAAGGCCGAGGCCGGAATTACCGACTCGGGATTGTGGGTGTGCTGGCACAAAGACTTCCAGCGGTGCGTGCAATCAATGTCGGCAGCAAGTGGCCTAGTGCAAAGAGCAAAGAGCTAAGGCGGTGGTGGCTGATAGGAATTGGCGGAAAAGACGGGAAATCGTAAGGACCAGAACGGACACGAAAAAGGGGATGAGCAGCAATGGCTGATGAATTGGGTTGGGATTGAAGAGATATTACAGTAAAGTGAAGTATTTGGCTCTCACTCCTGAACCCACACTCACATGCTGTGCACACACACACAGACCAGATCGCCATATATTCGCCATTTACAAGTGAGTTTTATATAAGTAGTACACGTAAGAGATGTTCGAGTAGGGGTTTGAATGCACATGGCGTTCTCCAGCTAGGGAACCACGAATCCCTGAATCTTTTGTTTGGCGATCAGCTGGTCCGACGGCGGACGAGTGCAAAGCACACACAGTGAAAGCAGAAGACGTTTCTTCTCCGTCAAGTCGTTCACAGCCATTGGCTGCCTGGTGCAAGCCCTGTCTCTTGGTGAACGTGGACGGTGGAGTTATTCCCAGAGAATATTCGAGTTTCAATCAACCACATATCAGTGATGGCTCAGTATGAAGGCCCGAACCGGAAAGGGCATTTACCTCCGCGGTAACACACATTGGGCTCGATCGCACTCGAGGTAAGCCACGTGTCCATATCGTAACAAAGGTATCCTCTCTTCGCCACCGTGGTAACCATCATGCCTAGATGGTCAACATTATTGCCCGAATGGTAATGAACAGTGCATCCGGTAATCATGGCTGGTAACTTCGCGTTCTAACCAAACTGTACACCGTACAAGTAGTGTTCGAGTCAGCGAAAATGAAACTGAATGTCCACGTCTACTCCACAAAATGCGCATTTCCGTTTATAATGACGGCGTTTACAATCAAGTTACAAACATTACAGTATTATTAGGAACAATTGTTTTTCGATATTACAAACATCTAAAGCTGCATTTGTAAAATCACTATTTAACTATCTATTCAAGAAAACTACAAATGCGTCTAAATATGTTAAAAACAATTCCTATCCATGATTTGTATTCATTATATAGGCTGGAAAATGTTTTTTATGGTGCGCTTCAATGATTTGTCTTTTTTTTTTTAATCCACATGAACGATAAAACTGATCCTGTTGTTTTTTTTATTTGTTTCTATATTTTGTATGCTATTATAGGGATATTTAATCGTATCGCATACGTGCATGTAACACTTGCGTTTGTAAACGTTCGTCTACTAAACAATAATGCGCATTCTGTGGAGTATACGTGGATAGTCAGTTCAATTTCGCTGAGTCAAATCCTACTTGTACGGCGTACTGTTTTGTTGGAACGCGAAGTTACCAGCCAGGAATTCCAGATGCACTGTTCATTACCATTCGGGCAATAATGTTGACCATCTAGGCATGATGGTTACCACGGTGGCGAAGAGAGGATACATTTGTTACGATCTGGACACGTGGCTTACCTCGAGAGCGATCGAGCCCAATATGTGTTACCGCGGAGGTAAATGCCCGACCGGAAATAACAAAAGTGGTACAATAGGAGCCAATGAGGGAAGAAGGTGGTTCGGAAGTCCCAAACCAGAGTACAGAACTCTGATGAGCCCATTGAGGCGTGGAGCCCAAATGACCCGAGCCGACGCCCAGTCTTCAAGGCTGCGAGTCAGTGGTTATTATACGAATGGCCACTACATCACAAAAATGTGTATGTTTAGAAAGCATTCGACCATTTGATTTTGGATCAAGGAATCAGAAAACCTTTGACATCCATTCAAGAATCATCTGTATATTGTTTTGGCACAAGAAGATGTTTATCTAATGGTTTCCAAATGTTTCTACGTTTTATTGTTACAATTGTTTGTTTAAATACTACATGATGCCGCATCAATCTATATTTCTTAATCAGTTTAGGTTATGATTAAGCGTCAAATATGCAAGTTTAGAGGCATTACCAGATGAACCTATTGAGCAGCTTCACACCATCGTCTTTGCAGCAAGGGACAACATGCACGACGCTAAGAATGCAATCTGCATCTACAACCGCATAGTTGTAGACACCCTTAGTGGGCAATATGCGCTTGCAACCTGTGTAGCGGCAGACACGCTGATCCTCCGTGTAGTACTCAATGTATGCAGCTTCTTTTGTCACACCATCCTTTTCGTAATGGAACAACATCAAGCACCGGCCGTACCAGTTGGCCCTTTTGCCGGCTGGATTTATTGCCACATCTGAAAAGTGCTGCTCAGAAGGGGCTGCTTTGACAAATTGCCCCTTCTCGGTCCACTCCATCCTGTCGTGCGGTGGAATTGCCATGGCTGTGTGGACCTGGGATTTGGGAAGCATAGAACACAGCACAACAATGAGGTTGGTGTTAGGGTTCTAATGGTTGGGGTTGTGAGGACTCCAAGGGTGGCAGGTTTGCATTGCAATCAGCATTGTATTGCAACTCACATTGAGCACTTGGTCGCGGATTCCCGCCATGGCCAGCCGCTTCTTCAGGCAGCCCATCGCTTCATCTCCGTGAACAAGGACATAGCTCCTGAACACATCATCGCGGATGTTTCCCAGGGCCATCTTCTTGTGTGTCTTAGTCATCACCCGGCGCCCAAGCGTGCAAGCCTGGGTAGAGGGGCGATGGATGCATGGTTTACATGGGGGGCAGCAGAACAAGGCAACACTTGAGTACAATGGGGGCAGCAGGAGGACGGTGCAGGGTTTAGGGACAAGTGGGAGAGCAGAGGGCGACAGCACGAGAGGTCAAAGGGGGCAGCGAGAGGAGGGAGCATAGGGGGACAAGTGGTTTGCAGGGGGGTGACGCAGAGCGAAAGACAAGGGCAGGAGGGTTTAGGAAGGAGCATGGATGGACAAGTGAGGGAGCAGGGGGGGCAGAACAAGAGGGCAAGGTTGGCAGCAGGATGAAGGCTCATGGGTGGACAAGTGGGGGAGCATGGGGGGGCAGGACGGGATGTCAAGGGTTTAGGCAGCAGGGCGGAAGGTTCATGGGCGGATAAGTGGGGGAGCATTGGGCGGCTGTTAGAGGACGTCAAGGGGGGCAGCGGGAGGAAGGTTCATGGGTGGACAAGTGTGGGAGCATTGGGGGGCAGAACGGGATGTCAAGGGGAGCAGGGGGAGGAAGGTTCATGCGTGGACAAGTGGGGGAGCATTGGGGGGCAGAGCAGGATGTCAAGGGTTTAGAGTAGCAAGAGGAGAGACCAGGGGGGCTCAAGTGGAAAGGCAGGGAGGGGCAGAACAGGAGGTCATGGGGGGTAGCTGGAGGAGGGAGCAGGGGGGGGGACAAGTGCAGAGCGGGTTTAGGGTGTATCCAGACTCACCTCTTTCATGGCTGTCTCGTAGGTTTTGTCCCCGCCGGCAGCCCGAGACAGCTGTCTAACAACGGCTTGCTCGATATGCTTCTTCACAATTCGATCCTCCACACCCTTCCAGTTGGTGCCACGGGATGGGCGCTTCACTGCCGTCTTGTGGGACTGCTTGTACCGATTCGACGAGTACTCTTGTGGCACTCCGCGTGCGCGGATCGTTGGTGGCAGGTGCGATACAAGATGTACCTTCACAATATACCACTTCAACTTCTGGTTGTCGAACGCGAGAACAAGCGCATCGACCATCCTGGATGGGATGGAGAAGGGTGGATTGGAAGATACGGGATTGGGGCAGTGTAGGGTTTAGCGTGAGGAAGCACATGAACTTTGCAGTGATCATCAACCAGTCCCCTATACCCTCTCTCATCCCCTCTTCCCCTCTCTCATGCCCTCCTCCCCCCTCTTAGCCCCTCCTCCCCTCTCTCATCCTCTCCTTCCCTCTAACTGCCCCACTTCCCCCCTCTCAGCCCCTACTCCTCTCGCTCATCCTCTCCTTCCCTCTAACTGCCCCTCCATCCCCTCTCTCTGTTCCCCTCTTTCCTATCTATGCCCCTCTTTCCCTCCCTCTGCCCCTCTTTCCCTCTCTCAGCCCCCCCTTCCCTCTCTCTGCCCCATCGTTTCCCCTCTCTTGGCCCCTCGTTCCCTCTCTCTGCCCCATCGTTTCCCCTCTCTCAGCCCCTCCTTCCCTCTCTCTGCCCCATCGTTTCCCCTCTCTCGGCCCCTCGTTCCCTCACTTTGCCCTTCTTTCCCTGTCTTTGCCCCTTTTCCCCCTGTCCCAGCCCCTATTTCCCACTCATGGCCCATACTTCCCTCTCTCGGCCCCTCCAGCCATCTCTCTGTCCCTCTTTCCCTCTTAGCAAGGTGCCCACGCCCATTCAAACTTGACTTACTCGCAGGAGACCTCCTCCATGCGCTCGAGCGATTCATCGGTGTGATACTCAGCCCGGATGAACTCCTTGTACCAGTCCGACATGAGCACGATTGCATGTCGAATGTCGGCGCGCTTGGGGAGGTCGATGATGAGGGGCAGCACTTGCATCATGGCACGGTGCTCCGACGCCGAGAAGCAGGCCGTCGTGGTGAAGTACGCCCATGCGGATGGGAGCCTCAGCAATGATGCAGGAATCACTGCCTTGATCAGCTTTTAACGTCTGCACGTCCGGGATGCAATCAGGGATACGGTTATGGTTTTTTAGGGTAGCGTATGCGGTGCAGCGTATGTATGTCCAGATGTTATGAGCATCAGATCGGACCCTCCTATGTCCACGCTTTCCCACTCTCTGCCCCAATTTCCCGGACTCTCTGCCCCTCCTTCCCTCTCGCTACCCCTCCTTCCCTCTCTCTGCCCCCCCGTCCCTCTCGCTACCCCTCTTTCTCTGTCTATGCCCCGAATTCCCTCTCTCTGCCCCACTCTCCCTCTTTCTATGCCACACTTTCCCCCTCTATTCCCCTCCTTCCCTCTCTCTGCACCGCGTTCACCAAGCTCTGCCCCTCATTCCCTCTCAATGCCACGCATTCTCTCTCTTTGCCCCGCATTCACTTCTCTCTGCCCCTCCTTCCATCTCTCTGCCCCTCCTTCCCTCTCTCTTCCCCTCCTTCCCTCTCTCTGCCCCTCCTTCCTTCTCACTACCCCTCCTCCCCTCTCTTTGCCCCGAATTCCCTCTCTCTGCCCCTCGTTCCCTGTCCCGCAGCTGGCCCTCCTTCCCTCTCTCTGCCCCGCATTCCCTTCTCGCCACTGGCCCTCCTTCCAACTCTCTGCCCCTCCTTCCCTCTCTCTGCCCCTCCTTCCCTCTCTCTGCCCCTCCTTCCTTCTCACTACCCCTCCTCCCCTCTCTTTGTCCCGAATTCCCTCTCTCTGCCCCTCGTTCAGTGCTGTCCCGCCACTGGCCTTCCTTCCCTCTCTCTGCCCCGCATTCACTTCTCGCCACTGGCCCTCCTTCCATCTCTCTGCCCCTCCTTCCCTCTCTCTGCCCCTCCTTCCATCTCTCTGCCCCTCCTTCCCTCTCTCTGCCCCTCCTTCCCTCTCTCTGCCCCTCCTTCCCTCTCTCTGCCCCTCCTTCCTTCTCACTACCCCTCCTCCCCTCTCTTTGTCCCGAATTCCCTCTCTCTGCCCCTCGTTCAGTGCTGTCCCGCCACTGGCCCTCCTTCCCTCTCTCTGCCCCGCATTCACTTCTCGCCACTGGCCCTCCTTCCATCTCTCTGCCCCTCCTTCCCTCTCTCTGCCCCTCCTTCCCTCTCTCTGCCCCTCCTTCCCTCTCTCTGCCCCTCCTTCCCTCTCTCTGCCCCTCCTTCCCTCTCTCTGCCCCTCTCTCTTACACTGAGCCCCTCGCCCCACTATGGTGTAAAGGAAACTCACTCGAGAAGTATCTTTCGTTCTGAGGGTTTCAAATTCTTCACGAGGCACCTCATCGCATGGAGCCAGAGCCCTTGCTCGATGATGTGCATGATGTCGGGTGTTTGAGCGAGGTACGTGTTGCCCCACTCGGTTTTGGAGAACTCCCAATCCCACAGCAATGACTGGCAGCAAGGGGAGGCACACCGCACGAACAAAAGGGGCGGGAGGGCGTTGGAAGGAAAAGGGGGACAGGAATGACGAAGGTGTACTTCTGAGCCGTCAACACTACCGAGGTTCGCAATAGGGGGAGGGTATAGGAGTTGTGTGCGCGGGGTTCAAGATGGAGCAGTGGAAAGGTAGAGATTCATCTGCACACAAGGGGGGACTATGGGAACAGGGAAACATGTTACGGTCAATAGTGTTACCTTAACGAAGTGGGTGGAATACTTGGTCTTCAGACGGGTCAATTCCTTCTTCGTTTTCGCTTCCTCCATTTTCTTGTACACTGCTTTCTGATCCCGCACGGTGCGCGGTACTATCTCGTCATCCACGTCCCGAAGATTATCTCTCGTAACCATGCAGAGGGAGCAAGGTCGGAAGGAGCTACATGACATGGTGCACGAAACCTTGTTGGACTCGGGATGGTCGTTCACGAACGAGTACAGTAGCGGGATGGCCACGTATGCAACTCCTTTGCTGTCCTCCACCTTTAAGCCCCCGCTGCGCGACAAAACATGGAACCATGCCATGTTGGGGGCTTTGTGGTGAGGAAATCAGCGCTGACAAAATGAAGGACGGATTCAGAGGGGTAGGAGGTTACAAGACCGAATTGATTGAGGGACAAACGAGCGGGTAACAATGCACACTGAGAGACGTGGGGCAGCAATACCAAAAGCACTCACTAAACCCCTCCCACCGTCTCTGCCAAGGAGGATCTACAATGCACAATGCCATCTGCGCATGTTCAAGGGAGAGAATATACAGAGCAGCGTACCCGCGGATGTTGGATAGACGTTTCAGAGGCTGTAGCTTCTCCGCCGCCAGTTGGAACACCCTAATCTTCTCCTCCGGCTTGAGGTCGGAGGGGATAATAGGGAAGAGGCCCAGCAATTCTGTGCCACCTTCCAACCAACGCGCCCATTCCGGTGTGTTTCCGAATGACAGGACGAAGGGGTGTGCCGATTGTCTGCCATTGTTGGACAGATTTGTTTGATCCGAATAGAGAATGATCGCCAAGACGATAGCACCGATTTTACGGAGGCGAGCCTGTGCAGCACGAGAGCATAGAGGCAGATTTGTGGGGCGAAAGACATAAAGCAATGTCGCAGGACATAAAAATTGGCGCAAGGAAAGACATGGTGGGGCGTGTGTTAGCGGGGAGGACAGAGATCAAGGGCGAGAGACAAGGCAAAGGAAGGAGAGACAAGGCAAAGGAAGGAGAGCAAGGGCGAAGATCGGAGGGCAAGGTCGACGAACGCAGTGCAAAGGGCGATGGACTGCAGAGAGCGAGGGACTGAAAACAAAGAGCGGAGGACAGAGATCAAGGGTGAGAGGCAAGGCAAAGGACGGAGAGAATGGGCGCAGGACAGAGAGCAAAGGGTGACGGAGTGAAAGCAGAGAGCGAAGGACAGAGTTCACGGGCGAGAGGCAAGGCAAAGGACAGAGAGAATGAGCGCAGGACGGAGAGCAAAGGGTGACGGAGTGAAAGCAGAGAGCGAAGGACAGAGTTCACGGGCGAGAGGCAAGGCAAAGGACAGAGAGAATGGGCGAAGGACGGAGAGCAAAGGGTGACGGAGTGAAAGCAGAGAGCGAAGGACAGAGTTCACGGGCGAGAGGCAAGGCAAAGGACAGAGAGAATGGGCGAACGACGGAGAGCAAAGGGTGACGGAGTGAAAGCAGAGAGCGAAGGACTGAGATCACGGGCGAGAGGCAAGGCAAAGGACAGAGAGAATGAGCGCAGGACGGAGAGCAAAGGGTGACGGAGTGAAAGCAGAGAGCGAAGGACAGAGATCACGGGCGAGAGGCAAGGCAAAGGACAGAGAGAATGGGCGAACGACGGAGAGCAAAGGGTGACGGAGTGAAAGCAGAGAGCGAAGGACAGAGATCACGGGCGAGAGGCAAGGCAAAGGACAGAGAGAATGGGCGAACGACGGAGAGCAAAGGGTGACGGAGTGAAAGCAGAGAGCGAAGGACTGAGATCACGGGCGAGAGGCAAGGCAAAGGACAGAGAGAATGGGCGAACGACGGAGAGCAAAGGGTGACGGAGTGAAAGCAGAGAGCGAAGGACTGAGATCACGGGCGAGAGGCAAGGCAAAGGACAGAGAGAATGAGCGCAGGACGGAGAGCAAAGGGTGACGGAGTGAAAGCAGAGAGCGAAGGACAGAGATCACGGGCGAGAGGCAAGGCAAAGGACAGAGAGAATGGGCGAACGACGGAGAGCAAAGGGTGACGGAGTGAAAGCAGAGAGCGAAGGACTGAGATCACGGGCGAGAGGCAAGGCAAAGGACAGAGAGAATGGGCGAACGACGGAGAGCAAAGGGTGACGGAGTGAAAGCAGAGAGCGAAGGACTGAGATCACGGGCGAGAGGCAAGGCAAAGGACAGAGAGAATGGGCGCAGGACGGAGAGCAAAGGGTGACGGAGTGAAAGCAGAGAGCGAAGGACAGAGATCAAGGGTGAGAGGACAGAGATCAAGGACATCTCTCTGCCCCTCCTTCCCTCTCTCTCTTTCCTATGCTCGCTCACCCAAGCCTTAAGCATCCAGTCAGTGTTGCCAGGAGTGCTGTAGCGTCTTTCTCCATCAACCTTCTACTCCGTTGGCTCGATGATGAATCCTCGTACTGCAGACATCTTCTTGAACATCGCCTGTGCCAACTGCCGATTGTGGGTGGATGATAGGAGCAATGTCGTGTGGTACCGTTGCGATTGATTGAGTGCTTGTTTGAGATCTGGCAACAGTAAGGGGTGCTGAACAAATAACATGGGCACTTGTAGCAGGTAAAACATGCATTGAGCACGTAACACAACCGTTGACTCACAGTGTTAACATCGCGGAATCTAAAGATAAAAAATCCCACTTCATGATCCACCTCGATCTCAGCCACTTGCCAAGCATGCTCCGGCGCCAAATCGAAGCTATTCTCGTACTTCTCAAGGTCTCTGTACGCCGTCCAGCCTTGTAGCTGTTCGACACTCACGCCCGGAATCCTGAACAGATCTATAATGGCAGTTATAGCCCCATTCGAAAGGTCGTGAGTCCGTGACAGTATGCATATTTCGGCTTTCAGGTCAATCTGCTCTTCATCGACATCAGGTTCCACAGCAACGGGGCCTTCGCAAGGCGCCTCAGCAGCCTCCCTCACTTGTTCCGGTGCCGGTACTACTCTGTACGCCGTTTCTGTCAGTGGCATCTGCAGATTTGGACGAGGCAGCGGTGCAGGCGTCAAAATGGGGACTGAAGATGATGGATCTCCGTACCTTTTATGCGATTGCCTTGACTGACGTAGTCGCAACTTTCGCTTTAGATTCAGCTTGCACTTGTCGCCATTGGCTTGATGGCTTCGGAGGGTCTGATAGCTGTAAAAAACATTTCCGCAGTCGCACTTTTGGCCTTTCATTTTCCCAAGTGAATGAAACAGGGACAGCTAGAGCATGTCTTGGTATCGGGGAGATATGAACAGAGCGGTTACATACCCAGTTCTAGCCCAAGGTTGAATTCATCTGTGACTCATATAGGCGGGAAACGCATTTGCAAGGTAGCTGCATTACAGCACGTCAACCCTAAATCGAGCTGAAAATCTACGGTTGGACAAAGTGGCAATTATGATAAAAAATAAACACCCCCTAAAAATGGCCGTGGGAACCCCAAAACTCTCGCGAAACACCTGCGGCGTGTTACTTAGCAAAATCTATGAAACAATGAAAAGTTCAAACAATTGCTAACAGGCTGGGACCACACGAACATGAAGCAAAACGAGAGCCCAACCCCGTAGTGCCGATGTAGTGCGAATGCAAAATTTCACAGTTTAGTCACTGTGCCTAGTGTAGAAAGTTGGTTCCGGGGTGTCGTGAAATATAGTAAGACGTGGTGTGCAGTCCAACAGCATTACCGTGATTGAGTCCGACAAGGGATAACCCACCAATCACGCATGATCGCGCCCAACAAGTGCAGTACTTTGGGAAGCAGAAAATGTAATCAACGAGCTGAAATCGATTTGTCACTCATATCTCACCGTTCAAAGTAGGCCCAGCCTGATTGATCGACGGTTTTCCAAGAATCTCTCCCCAAACAAAAGGAACATATGTGGACCACTGAGGGCTGGCTATTCCTTCTCTATACCCGGAATTACCTGACAACCAATAACCACTGCACAGCCAATGGGTGCGCAGGCGGTCTCGGATTACGGACCAGGAGTCTCCCGCTAAATCCAAGATTCTTGGATTCTGACGAAACGAAATGCAGTCCCACCTCGTCACTGACAAATTTGGATTGGTCACATCACTTTGCGACGCGAGGAATCATGTTCAATTACACAAACATCAGATGAGCCCTGTCAATAGTGATGGGCTGCCCAAAATGGTTCGGGGGTGAAAATATGTCGAACCTCAGTGGCACGTACACTTGTCAAAGCGAATGCTTTCATACGAAAATGCCAAATCGGGCAGGAAATGAACATCTCCTCACAGCTAGCGCGACAACTCTGTTCAAAATTATGAAGTGTTGTTGCTTGTGACGAGATTTCACAGTCTCCCTAGCATCAACCCCCGACGTTCGCAGAGTTCTCTCGTGGCTCCTCATCGCGTAGCTAGTGATCACACCTTGCAGCCGATAAGCATGCCATTCCCTTACGGCGGAGGATGGTTAGATATCACCGAGGATCACGCTAACACGCTTGAGCCCGGGGAATGGATTAGCGGAATCGTCATGGACTGGATGGGTGTGTGAGTATCACGCTTTAATGGGTGACGCACATATCACTAATTCGCTTGGATTCACAAAACATCAGTTCTTGGGTTACTATTCACCCACACACAGGATGCTTCAGTACGAGCACGGACGGAACGACAAAAAGTGGCTTTACAGTGGATCGTATTTTTGGAACTTCGCGGGAAAAGACATCTCGAGGCGCGGGAACGCTTATACGTTCGGTTTGGATATATTCGAGTACGCTTATGTTTTCGTCCCAATCAACACTGGGTGAGTTTCTGTCGCGTCACGATCTGATCTCGACTTACTTATGTTTATCACATAATACTAACAGATTCTTTTGCACCACCGTAGGAGTCATTGTAGCTTGATAGTAATCGAGATCATACCGAAGCCCGACGAACCGATACCCATGAGCTGCGTGCTCTGGCATGCTGACTCGTACGGTTCCCACAACTGTGTCGACGCGCCTCTGCGAAGGTACTGACCTTGTCGACATTCTTATATTGCTTTGTACAAACACTCGTCACTAGCGTTTTATTGTCACCCGATATGCAGGTACTTACGAAACGAGATGATGAGAGGCACAACCTGGCTCCTTGAGTCGGATGCAGATGCATGGGCGGCGAGCATCCCTCTGCGCCAGGTCAAGGTGAGCGCGTTAGCCTTCATTGTAAGTCGTTCTAATCAGTCGCACTCACTACCAAGCGTCGCACAAGGTACTCATGTCGCCCCATTTAGCGCCCAGCCTATACCCAGCCCAATCTATGATATTGTGTTCTTTCAGATTCCACTACAGGCTAATGAGAACGACTGCGGTGTGTTCACGATGCGCGTGATGCATACATTGGTTGAGCACAGCTTCCATAACCTAACGGCGTGTGAGCTCGTTGGTACACCACTCAATTGGCGCCGTCAGTACCTTCGCGATTTGAGGAAGTGGTCGGTATATTTTCAGGAAAAAACGTTGCAGGAGGTTGGAGGTGGGGAATGAGGCGGTGAGCAGGGGGGGATGAGGCGAGGAGCCAGGGGGAATGAGGCGGGGAGCGTAGCCTAATTCGGCGGGGAGCAAGGGGGACTGAGGTGGTGAGCGAGGGGGAATGAGGGGGGAATGGGGCGGGGAGCAGGGGGGAGTGAGGCGGTGAGCAAGGGGGAATGTGGCGGTGAGCAATCGGGAATGAGGCGGGGAGAAGGAGGGAATGAGGCAGGGAGGAGGGAATGAGGCGGGGAGAAGGAGGGAATGAGGCAGGGAGAAGGAGGGAATGAGGCGGTGTAGCATAGGGGAATGAGGTGGGGAGAAAGGGGGGAATGAGGCGGGGAGAAAGGGGGGGGTGAGGCGGTTATGAAATGGGGGAATGAGGCGAGGAGCAAGGGGGGAACGAGGCGGTGCGCAAGGGGGAATGAGGCAGTGAGCAATCGGGAATGAGGCGGGGAGCAGGAGGGAATGAGGCAGGGAGAAGGAGGGAATGAGACGGGGAGCCTGGGGGAATGAGGTGGGGAGAAAGGGGGGAATGAGGCGGGGAGAAAGGGGGGGGTGAGGCGGTTATGGAATGGGGGAATGAGGCGGGGAGCAAGGGGGGAACGAGGCGGTGAGCGAGGGGGGATGAGGCGGTGAGCAATCGGGAATGAGGCGGGGAGCAGGAGGGAATGAGGCAGGGAGAAGGAGGGAATGAGACGAGGAGCATGGGGGAATGAGGTGGGGAGAAAGGGGGGAATGAGGCGGGGAGAAAGGGGGGGGTGAGGCGGTTATGAAATGGGGGAATGAGGCGGGGAGCAAGGGGGGAACGAGGCGGTGAGCGAGGGGGGATGAGGCAGGGAGCAGGGGGGAATGAGGCGGTGAGCAAGGGGGGATGGGGCAGTGAGCAGGGGGCAGTGAGGCGGGGAGCCGGGAGGAAAGAGGCAGGGAGCATAGGGGAATGAGGCGGTATCAACCCACTGGAATTGGCGGGGAGCAGGGGGGAGTGTAGGTGCGAATTCTACATCTGGTGCTCCACTCTTAGCAAACTCCCAGATCTGTTGATGTAATTACCCTGTACTTGATGCCATTTAAAATTTGGAAGTGATGTTGCAAAATAGTGGTGGGTCCCACATATGCAGTGTATGAGCGTACGATGCAGTGTATATGCATGCGGTGCAGTGTAGGAGCGTGCGGTGCAGTGTAGGAGCGTGCGGTGCAGTTTTTGTACACGCTGTGCAGTGTATGAGCGTATGATGCAGTGTATAAGCATGCGGTGCAGCGTATGTGCGTGCGGTGCAGTGTATGTGAGTGCGATGCAGTGTATGTGCGTGCGATGCAGTGTATGTGCGTGCGTTGTAGTGTATGAGTGTGCAATGCAGTGTATGTTCGTGCAAGGCAGTGTATTCGCGTATGATGCAGTGTATATGCGTGCGGTGCAGTGTAAGAGTGTGCGGTGCAGTGTCTGTGCGTGTCGTGCAGTGTTTGTGCGTGCGGTGCAGTGCAGTGCAGCGTATATGCGTGCAGTGCAGTGTATCTACGTGCAGTGCAGTGTTTGTCAAACATATATGATATAGCCTGTTTAGGCTGTAGTGGGTTAGACATTATGGGGTACAGGTTTTCTAGGTTTTCCTATTTGTACCCATCTCATTTCTAGTTCAATCATTCCTCGCTAGTAATCTCACTTGGTATCAGAGAGGTCTCGGGTTCGAATCCCGGTGTATGCACATGTAGGCCATTGCCGCTGTGCTCAGTCCTGGGCCTCCCAGTGTGGGGGGGTGTCAGTAGAGCTGCACAGTGAGATCCCCGATCGATCCTAGAGGGGGTTACACGCGTGTTTGCCTGGGGGGTTATGGGCGCACTGACCCACTACACAAAAAAGCCCTTTTATCCCAGTGGTCTAGTGGCTGGGATTCTGACAGTGTTTGTCCATGCAGTGCAGTGTATGAGCGTACGATGCAGTGTATATGCATGCGGTGCAGCGTATGTGCGTGCGGTGCAGTGTATGTGAGTGCGAGGCAGTGTATGTGCGTGCGATGCAGTGTATCTGCGTGCGTTGCAGTGTATGAGTGTGCAGTGCAGTGTATGTTCGTGCAATGCAGTGTATTCGCGTATGATGCAGTGTATATGCGTGCGGTGTAGTGTATGAGCGTGCGGTGCAGTGTCTGTGCGTGTTGTGCAGTGTTTTTGCGTGTAGCGTATATGCGTGCAGTGCAGTGTATGTGCGTGCGGTGCAGTGTTTGTTCATGCAGTGCAGTGTATGAGCATACGATGCAGTGTATATGCATGCGGTGCAGCGTATGTGCGTGCGGTGCAGTGTATGTGAGTGCGAGGCAGTGTATGTGCGTGCGATGCAGTGTATGTGCGTGCGTTGCAGTGTATGAGCGTGCAGTGCAGTGTATGTTCGTGCAATGCAGTGTATTCGCGTAAGATGCCGTGTATATGTGTGCGGTGCAGTGTATGAGCGTGCGGTGCAGTGTTTGTGCGTGTCGTATAGTGTTTGTGCGTGCGATGCAGTGTATATCTTTGCGGTGCAGTGTAGTGCAGCGTATATGCGTGCAGTGCAGTGTATGTGCGTGCGGTGCAATGTTTGTTCATGCAGTGCAGTGTATGAGCGTCCGATGCAGTGCATAAGCGTATGGTGCAGCGTATATGCGTGCGGTGCAGTGTATGTGAGTGCGATGCAGTGTATGTGCGTGCGATGCAGTGTATGTGCGTGCGTTGTAGTGTATGAGTGTGCAATGCAGTGTATGTTCGTGCAAGGCAGTGTATTCGCGTATGATGCAGTGTATATGCGTGAGGTGCAGTGTATGAGCGTGCGGTGTGGTGTATGTGCGTGTCGTGCAGTGTTTGTGCGTGCGATGCAGTGTATGTCCGTGCGGTGCAGTGCAGTGCAGCGTATATGCGTGCGGTGCAGTGTATGTGCATGTGGTGCAGTGTATGTGCGTGCGATGCAGTGCTTGTGCTTGCGATGCAGTGTATGTCCGTGCGGTGCAGTGCAGTGCAGCGTATATGCGTGCAGTGCAGTGTATGTGCGTGCGGTGCAGTGTTTGTTCATGCAGTGCAGTTTATGAGCCTCCGATGGAGTGTATATGCATGCGGTGCAGCGTATGTGCATGCGGTGCAGTGTGTGTGTGTGCGATGCAGTGTATGTGCGTGACTATATAATCATTGCATTGTTGTTAGCGTGACTATTTGCAAGTTTGGCGACCAGAACTGCTTCAAATACCCTAAACATTCTTTACTGGATGTTGTGTAATAAATAATGTGAGAAATTGTGCAATCCGATTCCTTTTTCCAATATCTCTTGTAACACAGCACATCCAACACAGCAGTTCTTGGTCGTGAAATAATCGGGGACCTAGGCCAACTCACGCACCCACCTGATAGCAACGGCACTTGCGATAAACTCCGCCACACTTACCCGCGTCGCTCTCTGTCTAGTGTCGCACAACAGAGGTGCGATGGCGATTTTTTTTACAGCAAGGCATCGACATGCCCTGTCAAGCTTCGTTTACACAGCTAACGTGCGACTATCTTCCACCATCGTGTTGGTGCAACCTACGGTTTGCACTCGGCTTGTTGTCCGTGTGCGTGCATGCGTGTGTGCATGGAATGGTATGAGGGCATGAGATAATATATATTTCATGCTTATAATAGTGTGTGAATGTTGAGTCATGATGTCGAATGTGTGCGTGTCAAGTCAATAGCGAGTTATCGCTATTCGTGTCCCGCGCGGTTTCTATCTTGTCGCTTGTGTGTCTCGCGCGGTTCCTATTTTGTCCTGTGTCGAACGTTCGGCGTGTCGCAGGTGTGTGCAGCAGACCCATGAAGAACTCAAGGATGAGTTTGTGGTGAAGAACCAGAGCCTTGGTGTCAAGCCTCAAGTGATTTCGAAGCTCGCCAAAAAGGGTACACTTCAAGATGTTGAAGATAGTTACATTACAATGTGTAGTGTAACACTTATGTTGGTGTAGACCCTTTGTGGAGGGTAGTTTCGAGACCCTTCTTGGTTGGGGACAGTGTGGCACTGTTCCACATCACTGTACCTCGGCTCTTGGGGTTTGTAGGAGCTGGGAGTCATTCCCAACTCGTAACTCTTGCCAACTCTTCCTATTGTGTCTTCTAAGACTATAGTGGCTGCCATAGTGCCGTTCGTTCAAACCGACGCTGTGTCGTCAATACTTGGTGAAATCGTGCGATCTAAATTGCCTATTGTAGGCGACATTAAGACGCTCCAGATCCAAGTTGAAGCAGGTCATTTGAAGCTGTGACCAGAACGCTATAAACGTTTAAAGCCGCTGTGCAGAAATCCGACTGTGCACTCTATCTTTCGTTTTAGGCACATTGAAGCCTACTGTGACTATAACAAGTGGTATCAGAGCCCCTTGGAGCAGTTTTGACAATGGCTGGACCTGAAGAGAGGGGTGGCAGAGGTGCTGGTGGCAGTGGAGAAGCCCAAGCACAAGGCCAAGCCCGTGATTCAGCCGTGGGGCCCGTGCAACCTACTCTTGGACCTTCTAGGGATGAACCAAGAGTGTTCGGGCTTGACAAGTTCAACGGTGACAACTTTGCTGAATGGTCCTTCAGAATGGAGAATGTGTTTGATCACTATGACCTGCTGGAGGTGATGGAAGGAACGGAGAAGCGTCCCGAGAACGACCCGGAGAAGAGCCCGTGGGTGCGGAAGAGCGCACAAGGCTATCTCCTACTTGGGCAAGCGTTGGGGAGCAGCCAAATCCGTCACATCAAGTCATTCCAACGTGAACCAGAGAAGGGACCAAAGGCATGGGCTGCTCTCAAGGGTGTACACGCTCCTGCAACAGCGGCGGTAGCGGTGGTGTTGGAACGGCAAATGGCGACGTTACGAATTGAAGAGGATGAAGCGGTTGAAGAAGGGGTGCAGAAATTCTTCGACTTGTTGACGCGGCTTGAGGGAGCTGATTTGAACTATAGTGAGCTCCAAAAGAAGACCAAGTTGCTGGCCCTACTCCCTGAATCATGGTCCTCGCTCATCATCAACCTGAATCGCGACTTGCCCCGCCTCTCGCTCGAAGACGTGAAGCGAGCTATCCTTCAAGAGGATTTCTGCCGCCGTGAGTTGGCGAGTGCGGATGGCGCTGGGGCAGCGAGCATCGGCCGTGGATATGGTCGAGGAAGAGGCAGAGGACGAGGGGGAGGAAGGTTTGGTGGCAGCAACTTCGGCGGAGGCCGCGGGAGTGGCGGTTACGGCAGCGACGACAAGAGCTACGGGCGCGGTCGCGGCCGATTCGACGGCGAATGCCATTATTGCCACAAGAGCGGACATATGTGGCGCGATTGCTACAAGCTCCCTGATGGTTGGACCCCTGCTCAAGGCCAAGAGGGTAGAGGAGCAGGAGGAGGGAGAGGAAGAGGCCGTGGAGGTCGTGGCGGTCGCGGTGGCGGAGCTGCAAACATGAAGAGCGGAGACAACGACAAGGACCCGAGCGACGATCGGTACTCGGGTCTATTCTACTTTGTCTCGACGCAAGTACCGACTGGTCTAGAGAAGGATGAAGGCTTTGAGGAGCCAACATCTGTGGGGAAGGTGACCCTACACCCCCTGGACTATTGGGTGATCGATAGTGGCGCTACCTATAGCATGACACCTCGCCCGGACTTGCTCACCGAACTCGAACCGTCACCGGTGAAGCATGTCACATCGGCTTTGGGGCAGCGAGCAGAGGTGAAAGGCATGGGCAAGGCCATGTTCAAGGGTGCTGATGGGAAGATGGTGGGCCTCAAGAACGTGCTTTGGGTGCCCAGCCTTGCGGCGAACCTGATTTCCGTGCGGCGATTGGCAAAGGCCGGCATGGACACGAGCTCGAAGGGAGCCAAGACCTATACCGCTAGGCTTGGCGAGCGGATTCTATGGGACCTTCACGAGGATAGGGACATCTACAACGAGATGTGGCAGATCCCTGTGGTCCCCAT